TGGAAATGAATGGTTTCGGTTCCCACGTCACTCGGTGAGTGGATCCACTCTCCTTGGTTTGACCTGGGACTCGTGGTGTGGAAAGGGTACCGCCCCAGGGTGCGCCTGGTGCTTGCGGGGGGCCATGCTTCTGCGTGGTTTTCGCCTTTTTGGCGTGGCCCTGCACCGGGAGCCCAAAGGTACCAAGCGAAAGGTAATTTCATGGAATTCTCGCGAAGGGCTTAGGATGGTCCCCAACCTGCATGTCATTTGTCTGTACTTGTTATCTAGCTCACTCGTACACAATGGTTAAATTGCACGGTGCCCTTGGCTCTTCACTAATTCAAAGGTGTACAAAGATGACGTGAGCGTGTTTCAGCGACAATGGGATAAAAATTAACCTTCCCCATCACACTTACTGAAATACCCTAGCGAGACAGTCATCATAGAGACATGGCCGATATGACCCAATTCCTAACATGCCTGACATTCAATAGGGTAACCATGACGGTCACGTTGTCTTTCCGACCAAAGACGTGTCGGGATTGCAACTGACTGACCACAACATCACTAATAACCGTTTTAATTGCCACTCTCTTATACTTGCAAATAGCAATCTTCATGTAGTGGGCCCCCACTCTCTCTACCCGCACTGCCATGGATTTTGTACGACTCCGCGGTGAAGAACACCGTTTCTCTATGCCAGTAAAGATGATCTTATATAGCTTGGAAGCAGCGCAGGAACTTATGGTGGCTGTGCGAGACCTCAGGCGCACAGTACGGCTGGTGCAGAGTGGATGTGTCACCTTTTTTCCAGAAGAAGCACATGGGCTGCAATTGATCTATAACACATTGGAAGCTGACCTCCAACAGGTTGAATTGGATGGACAGCGCATCACACAGCATCTTTTGACAGCACTAGCAGCATCATACGAGGACATAGTCCAAGTGGCAGGTTTTAGTCGCCCGTCTACACGAGGTGTGTGGGTCAATCACCTATACTTAATTCCAGCTGCTGATGGAGGCATGACCGACCAGGCGGGACTTGCACCAGTGCCAATCGATGCCCGACCTTTCCGGCTGATTATCCAGACAATACACATCACTGCGACCTTGGGCGGTTTCTTGGACCGCAGGACCATGCAGCAAACGGTTGATACAGTGGTGGAAGTGGCATTTCTACTATTACGGATAGGGTTGCCACCCAACCTCCGCATCTGGACCACTAGAGCAGCTGGAACAAATTCAACTGTGCAAAGACTACAACCTAGCACGCTCCTAGTAGAAGTAGCCAGAATGATGGCTCCCGACATAAGATTTAGACTTCTTGTGCAGGACCCGCCCACTGCGGCCACTCGAAGTCCCGACAGAGAGTTGGGTGCACCGGAGGTCGTCCTCCTATAACAAAACAGTGAAATGGCTGTGGATTTTAGAATTGCCGCATAACAGATCGGTGCAGCAACATGGTTTATGTGCCATTCATTACCTACGCGTGCCATCGTTTGCTCAAGAGTTGATATCTCACAACACACATCCAACAATACCACTCTGTAGTTATCGGTTGAGATCACTAGGTGTTTCCAAGCAATTACACTAGACACGGAGACCTAGTCAGACAGCGCATACGGAATTGCCATGGTGACGAAATGAAGCACTTAGACGTTGTGGATGGAGTTATCGGAGCAACCTCGCTCGAAGCAAGACCTCCGTCTGCAGTGATAGGAGACAACATCGAACTGCTAATTTTGCACCTACGAATGCCTGATGCGGAGACTTGGATTGCACACACTGCTACACACGCAGTAATCCGAATCGAAGAGCAACAAATTCAAGACTATCTCCTCATATCCAATGGACTCATGCATAGGACCCCTTGCGTTTTTTCGATCAAGGAAGAGAGGGTAGATTGCCTTGATGCTGGGCTCCTTGAACAGCTGTTCCGTGAAGGAATAGGCCTCACGGATTCATCTACAATGTACATTGCCACAGCTTATGTACAACACAGTTACACTGAACTTACTCACTGTTTAACTTTTTTCAGATGAATCAACTGACGCGAAGCAAGGACTATGCCTATCATCCTTAGGGGTGATATTGCCAATTCAAAATTCTGGCAAAAAGAGAGTCGTGTCTCCGCCAAGGCAGCGTGCATGCTCAGCATATGCTTCATGAGTACACGTGACTTTGGTACATGTCGACAGGTAGAGATACGGCATCATTCTTAGTATACCCTATCGCATACCTGTGGCTCAAACCATCGTCCCATGTACAGGGCTCCCACTCCTCTGACCAAAGACGTGTCAGGGGAGTACCCTCTCTCTATCCTGCCCTCCCTCTCTTTTGCCGTCGTCTCCTTCCCCTCTCTTTGGCTGCCCCCTATTGCCACCTCTGCTGCTGTCCGTAACTGTTGGCCCCTCGTGTTTACTTTCTGGTCCGTCCCTCTCACTCGTCTGTGATTGTTTCCTCTCCTCTCTCTTCCTGCACGTTGTTCCTGCTTCTGCCATACCCTTGTAAACCCTGGTGGGCAGTCATGGCGCAGTGGATCGGTGATAAGGTCACGCTAAAAGCAGGCCCACTGACTGGGCCTGACCAAGCGGGCCCTGCTGGTGGCAGTAATGATACTGAGGCTCACAGTGAACACCAGCGACTTGAATACAAAGAGTCCTACCTTGCGGAATACGACGGCATCCAGGTCTATCGGCAGCAAGGCTGCTATGAGCACGCCAAGCAGCTCCATGCATGGTCCTTCTACGAATATAGAATGTACATCAATGGCGAATGTTGGAACATTATTCTCAATGATGACATGAAGAGCACAGTGGACTGGGCCTATCCAGGGTCCAGTTCCGCCAAGCTGTCACATGACTTTGTCATATAGATACCGAAGCCAGTGATGACGTCTACACCAATTTTTGTTTTGTGGAAATGGGAGGCCGGCAGATCTGGCCCTTCTATGCCACAGAGTCCTTTCAGGAGGATTTATGGATTTGGGTCAGTCCCAGAAGATTTGCTGTCATCACGAACCATCGACACAATGAGAAATTGAATCATTTCTATGTTGACCGGATGCATGAACACAATATCCTGGCGAATCGCACGCCCTGCTGGCCCTTCACAGAAATGACCAATAGCTCAGGCAAGGTGATGGACAAAATTATTGCCCTGAACAGAGAATCCCGCTGTAGTTCAGCAGCTCACGAAACTTTCAAGACTGGCTTTGAACACAAAAGTGCCATAAAGTCTATGCCGCGAAGAGAGGAGAACTTGCATGGCAAGAGGAAGTATACAGACCCCACGGGACAGACAAGTACCCAACAGCTCGACCCGACTGGGAATTACAGTGAACGCGACTTGCAGAAACTCAATGCGACCTTTGCTGGTCGATCGGAGCCGCAATCACCCTCCATGCCAAATCATACAACAAGCAAAGTCACAATGTGGCGGCATGGTGAGGTACCGCCGCTAGGACCTGCAACAGAGGGCCGGGCCCGGGCCGCTAAACAGCTGGCGTATGCACGCACTCTATTAAACTTCGTAATGGAGGCAGCCACCCAAATGGAAGAAGTCGTGGGCAACTTGGTGCAGATCGAGCATGAACAAGCCACGGCCAAAGAGGAAGATTTGGTTCAAGCTGCTTCTGCTGCTCCGACAGAATCGTGCACAGATCCAGCTACAGAGGGAAGTCAAACCTGAGTGACATAGACCTTTGACATCTGCATGCTGTCTACAGTCCGAAGGAACTGCAGCGAAGACTGTGGCTCTTTCCTCACGCTGAGGATGCAGGACATAAAAAGATGGTAAGTGCGCTACTTGCTATATCTGCTACCAGATTTCTGGCAGTCGAGTAGAGGAGTCTTCTTGCATGTGACCCCTTGCCACGCTGCTCGATAGAAGGCCCGCAGAATTTTCAGCTCAAATAAAAGCATCGGACTCCTGATCCTCACCGAGACTTTCCTGATATAAGTCTTGTCACATACCAACCAGATCGATCTTTAGACCTAAGGGATCCTAGATATGCTATACAGCACATGCCGTTTTCTTCTGACTGGCTACTATGTTTTCGCTGTATCTACTTGCAAGCCCTTGCGAACTCTTCTCGTGTGATCTGCTAAGCAATATCGGCTCAAATTTAGATGGTCTGAATTGTTACTAGTCCTTTTACAGTTCCTTATACACCCCTCTGTATCCTGCCTAGGCATCTATGAATTTCGTGTTTGCAAATATAAGTGCGAGGCCCCTCTGGCTAAAGACTGTCAGGGTTGCCTCTGATTACTTATTTCCAGGGGTAAGTATGCGACTCCGTGTCTGCCATGGAATCCGTGGTGAAACAACCCTGACGATGGACGTCGTGGAACGGACAACCCTCGGATGTTTCACTAGGCGCCAGCCTTGTTACCTTATCAACTCGCAGGTGTGGCATGTGCCACCTCAACCAAAAAAAACAAAAAACTTGAACCCCAAACTCTGACCCAACTGTTGTGAGGGTGGAACAGTGTGGCCTGTTACAACTGGTAACGTTTCTAGTCTCTGGAGGGCGAGAGTGATTGCTTGGTTATTTGTTTAACCTGCGTTTTGGAGAGATGATCTTTCAAACAGTTGGTTTGTTGTTTGTTGTCACTTGTTGGGCACTGCTTAACTTTGTGAATGTTTGCAGTTTCCCCTCAAGTGACCTCGTTGGCACCTGGCCAATCGTTTTTGTCCCACGTTTTGCCGTTTGATGGTCGCGACCTTCCGTGCTGCATCTGCCGTCGAGAAGGGTCAGGCTGCTCTTCCTGCAAGGACCTTTCATGTGCATCGACCTTCACTGTTTTGTGTTTGTGGCTGCAGCCTTATCTGTTTTGGCACAGGGTTCCTTTCCGCTGTCATCTATTTACTGTGGTTTGAAAGTGGGGATGAGCTGTGAGAACATGGACGCCTATGAATCACATTTGGCATTTGCACGCAGATCAGTGTGGGGGTCAATTTTCAATCCTATCTATGTTGTGCGCCCTCCAATTTCAATTCCTGGGAGCAACATTCCAATGATTCCTAAGCCGTGTGGAGTGCTTGCTGTGCCTGCACCTGTCCTGGAAGATGAAGATGGAACTGATGACAAACCGGGAGCCCTTAGAATTTTCCGGGCAAAGAGGACCATTACTGGCAGATCCTGGGAGTCGTTGCTTAATTCTCAGAGGGTAGCTGCAATTCGGAAGTGGGCTGGTATAATCATGTCTTATTTGAACTTTTTCGAAATTGGTCGACAGTGGGATCGTTTGACACCAATGGGACAAGCGCTTGGCGATGGGCTGAAGCACATTTTTGCAGGCAAAGCAACAGGGACACTACATGCTAGGGCCAGCCCCATCCTGCGATACGTGTTGTGGTGTGACAACAATGGCATACCTGCTTTTCCTTTAAGTGAACCTGCTGTTTACAGATTCATGTGCGATCATTCTGACACTGCTGCACCAACTTTTCTTCGTTCATATTTGGTTGCTGTCAGATTTTCATTTCATGTGCTTGGAGTGACTGGTGGCGAGAGCGTCCTCAATAGCAAGAGGGTTGAGGGGTGCGCTCGAGAGGCATTTTTGAAGAAGAGGCGGACTCTGCAGAAGGATCCTCTCACTGTTGCAATGGTTGAACATTTGGAAAGGGTCGTCATGACTGACAGGTATCTGGACAGGGATAAGGTGGCCGCTGGATGCTTCCTACTGTGTGTATACTTCAGGGCACGATTTTCTGACATGATGAACTTGCAGGACCTCATATTGGACGAGGTTATTGTTGACGGTGTTGCTCAAGGTTACATTGAAGGAAAGGTCGGACGCACAAAATCGGCCTACACCACTGAAATGAAAACCAGATACCTACCGATGGTTGCGCCACGGTATGGTGTCACTGGCTTGGATTGTTTCACCTCCTGGAGAGAGGCTTGCGTCAGATCTGGGAAACCGAGAGGGGAGTCCATGCCAATGCTGCCATATCCAACTGCAAATGGGTGGACCAGATCGCCTGTCGGAGCAGGTGAAGGTGCTGATTGGCTTCGACAAGTGCTCCGTGTGTCTGGCATTCCAATGGACGCCCTTGCAAACATTGGGACGCACTCGTTGAAAACGACAACATTGAGTTGGATGGCCAAGTTCGGGGCTCCAATCAGCATCCGACAGCACCTGGGCTACCACATGGCCAACGCAGACAAGATGGCCTTGCTGTACTCAAGGGACGCCTCAGCTGGTCCCATCCGGCAGTTGGAAGAATGCATTGCCCATGTCAGAAGCAGGACTTTTCTGCCCGATTCCACTCGGTCTGGGTACTTTCCTGGGCGTGTTATGAGCGTCGAGCCAAATGCAGGTGCTGACAGTGGATCGCAGCCTCCTGAAGAGCATGCGCATGCAGACTGGAGCGAATCGGACTCTGAAGATTCGGGAGACGACGAGCATGGCTATGAGGAACAAAGGATGAATGAAGAGGCCCTGGACCATGTTGTGGGCCGATGGAATGAGCATGCAACTCTGGAAGCGTTAGGGCTGCAGCAGGACGCTCCTCTTTTCAGAAACCGCTTTACCAGGTACATCCATTTGCTTGCAGACGAAGCCGGCGCAAAGTTCAGGTGTGGCAGGGATGTCAGCAGTAAGTATGAGGAGCTGCCGACCAGGCCAAAGTTCATGTCACCTCAATGCAAGCAATGTTTTAGGGAGGCACTAGATTAATTGTGGCGCGCGAGAAACAAAAGAAATGAGCCATTTTGACCGAGTGTCTGTTGAGATCAATTCTATGTGTTGTGAAACACATTGACATGTCAGTGCATCCGACGCGTTGATGTCGTCTGAATTGGAATGTTGCCATCTGGGCATTGACCATTTGGGTCAGATCAACGTTTGGTTGATGCGTGGTGGATCAAGAGGCGTACTTGACGCCGTGAGGAGGGATCCACTTGGGAGACCTCAAAAAAAAAAACTCTTTTCCGATGGGTCATGTATTTATTTTTGCTGAATTTGCACTGGCATATGAACTTGTTGCATCCGGAAAATCTCATTTCTGTTGATTGTAGGTTTCTCGTGCATCGAGTTTTCATGTGAACATGTTGCATTCAGACAATCCACTTCCTTGCGGTAGGATATTCGGGCAATGTCGTTGACAGACAGTGAGCCGAATTTCAGGGCAAGAGCAACGGCCCTCGGATTGGATGAGGCTGACGTGCAGGCCTTATGCAACAATGGTGTGAATACCCTTGCAAAATATGCTTTCAGCTCAGCATATGTTCCAGGCAATTCAGATGAGTCACCATTTGTCCAAGCTATGACCACCGCATTAGGGGCCGACCCGACTTTAGGGCAGTTGGCATCGTTGAGAAGGTTGTTCCACGAGGCCTACAGCCTTACTGCAGCAGAGCTCAAGCATTCAGTCGAACGTGTTGAGGACATGCCTGTCAAAAGGCTTGCTCAACCAGAGCGCGCAGATAGACTGAAACGCCAGCAATTAAAACTGAAGGGTATCCGCATCGAAGGAAAACTTGAGCCCAGTGACAGGTTGGTTGATCTTGCAGTATCGTTGTATGAGGAAAACAGGTTGCAGCACATCGAGCTTAGCAGGTGCACTTCGAAGGAACAAGAGGTCTTGAACTCATCTCAACGTGATGACAAACATGTTGCAATCGATGCCAGTGGTGCCGTTAGAATCAGAGATAAAGAAAGCAAAATGGAAGCAGACTTGTCATCTGATATGTTTGTCAGGTTGGCTCTAATGAGACGTGGCCTGGCCCTTGACCAGGCAAACCTGCTGGACTACTTGGAGCATGACAGGTGGGTCGAAAAGATTTTTGATTGTCGTGTTGCAGGCCAGCCAGATGGATATGCCAAGATTAGCATGCAACAGATTATCAATGCCGATCGTAAGCTGTTTGTGAAACTTGCAGAAGGGACCCGATCCGGAGTTCAGACAACAGGTGCTGGTAGACCCTTGGACCAAATTTTCAGAGCTACCATGGAGCATCCAGATGTTTTACACCTGTTGCAGCCTTTGCCAACCGCTGCATCAAACAAGCGCAGCAGTGATTCTTCCTATGACAAGCCTGACACCAAGGTTCCCAGGCCAAAAACCAAGGGTAAAGGGAAGGCCAAGGGACAGCAGGGAACCGGATCGCTTACAATCAAGATGCCTGCAGGTCTCGAAGGTGGCACACCTGGCAATCGTAACAATCAGCCAATATGTTTCGATTATAACCTACCTCATGGTTGCAAACTGCCAGTCACAAAGGGGCGATGCCGGAAGGGAATGCACATTTGCTGTGTCAAAAACTGTTTCCAGTCGGGCCATACCTTCCAGTCTTGCCCGAGCAAGCGCAGCAACTGACATGAGGTACAAGATGTTTCACATTGCGATGTTGGTACAGATTTTTCTTTAAAAGAACAAGCTGGTGAACCAACTACAGACCCTGGCCACCCCGCCAAAGAAGGCGTGAAAGCCGGGGATGCTCAGCAGGGCTCTCCTCTGATCATTGAACTGTGTGCAGGGACCGCAATGTTGAGCAAATGTTTTAAGGATTCAGGTTTTGAGCATTTGGCTGTTGACCACAAATCCAATCGCTTCCACTCCTATGTAACTGTTTGCAATGTCGATTTATCCACTGATCATGGCTGGGCCTTCATGTTCCACATCATTGAGCACTACGATGTTAGATTTGTACATGCAGCACCTCCGTGCGGGACTTGCAGCAAGGCCCGTGAAATTCCACTGGGCCCTGGAGGGGGACCTCAGCCACTACGCAGCATGGAGCACCCCCTTGGGCTTCCACACCTGGAGGGCAAAGACCTGGAACGTGTCAGATCAGCAAATGCAATTTATGATGGCCTAACAAAATTTTTGACTGAATGTACTGCCAGGGGTATCCCATGGAGTGTGGAAAACCCCACATCCAGTTACTTGTGGATGATCCCATGCTTCGTTGACCTGATGGCCAATACGCCCTGCAGATTTTACAATTACGACACTTGTGCCTGGGGATCCACTCGTAAATTAAAACGATCTTTCCTTTCAACAATGCCTGAGATGACTGGAATCGAGGCAACCTGCCCCGGTAATCATGAGCATGCGCCGTTTGGGAGCACCAGGCAACCTGATGGAACGTTTAAATATGCCACTAGTGATGAAGCTGCCTACACTAAGCAACTCTGTCTTCAAGTTGTATCTGTGGTTCAAAATGCCCTGAACCTTTTTCCGCAGAAGATCGAGGCAGACCATCACAGCGTTGCCATCAACCACAAGGGTATGATAGCCCTGCAGAAGCAACCAGCCGGCCGTCGTATGCCACCTTTGATTTCAGAGTTTGCGGCCTTTTCAACAGTTGTAGCCAGTTCCATGCCTGCCACAAACCCCAAGGGATGCTTGACAGCCTGTTTTCAGCATGTCCCCGAGGGATCAAAGCTGCTCAGTTTTTCTAAGCGGGGGGAAGGCGAGACCAGCTTTGTGTTGAAATTTGGAATTTACCGGTCACCCATCCAGTGGGTTGAGAAATCCTTGATGCTGCAACATCCGTTTGACAACTTCCATGCGGTCCCAGACCAGATGCTTGATGTGCTTTTCTATATTTTAACTACTGCACCTGCAGATGTTTGCAAATTTAGGATTTCAAAGCTGAAACTTTGGATGAAGTGGGCAGAGGAACTCGACACCCGAGAGAAAGAGCATAAACAACGCCTAGATCCTGAGGTTGGACGAGTTCTCGCGCCGAAAAGGCTTCTTTTGTTGCGAAAGATTGCTGACAGCCTGGACTGGCCTGACACTCAACTTTTTGATGAGATTGACGAAGGGTTCAAGCTCATTGGGATCCAAGACCCGTCCAATATCTTTGGTTTGGAACCACGCCCCCCGCAGTCATCAGAAGGGGAGCTATGGGCAAATGCAAAGTTCATCAGGCCTGCCTTGATTGGTAAAGTAAAAAATTCAAATATTGATGCCGAGAGCCAGCCTTTATGGGATGCTACAATGGAAGAAGCAGACAACAATCACTGGATGTCGGGTCCTTATTCCGTTGAACAAGTGCATGACATCTTTGGTGGACAGCCTTGGTTGCCAGTTAGGCGATTCGGAGTCCTTCAATCATCAGGTGACAGGATGAAGCTTAGGCCCATTGACGATTTCGCAGAAAGCAAAGTCAATAATGCCTATGGATACTCCGATAAGCTTGAATTGAGGGCGTTGGACCAGGTGGTCTGGGTGACGGCTGCCATCACCCGGATGCCAGCCGCATCCTGGGGCGTATACAGTTTGCCGACGCCCAGATCATGGGGTGCATAGGTAGGATTGCAATGCATGAGTTTCGTCAAGCGATTAAAAATTCTGACAGCATCGCTCTTGACCCGCCTGCCATTGGGTCCCTGGAGATTCTCATCAACAGGTTGGAGACAGGTGAACCCCGGAAGGTCCCGTGTTGTGATCAGAGGAAGCCGTTTTTGGTTTACACAGATGGCGCCAGTGAAAGCAGTGGGCACACCATTGGTGGAGTTTTTGCTGCCGATGGGAAGTTCGAATACTTTGCATGTGCGGTGCCCGATCCATTGATTGCGGAGTGGGGCGCAAATTTTTCGCATTTCATTGGTCTTGTTGAACTATATGCAATTCTGGTAGCCCGTTCGTTGTGGGCCGACAGCCTTGGTGGATCCAGGGTCATTTATTTCATTGACAACAACAGCTCAATGGATGCATGCATCAAGGGAACGTCGGGCTCAAAGTATGTACGTGAAATTTTGCTTTGTTGGGAAAGGCTTGAGGAGAAAACCAGAACCTGGGCATGGTTCACTAGGGTCCCAAGCCAGAGCAACCCTGCTGATGAGCCCTCAAGGGCATGCCATGATTTGATGTTGAAGCTTGGCGCGGTGAGGCGCATGGCTACCTGCCCGATGTTGAATGTCCCGCTTGTTGATTTGTAGATTAGATAGTAAGATGGGGAGAGCTGCTGATATAACTGACCAGGTGAGGATTCATAACCCATGACAATCCTTCTCCTATGCTGGGAGCCTTGTGGAGGCGTGCTCATTTGGAGCCTTGCTGAGACATCCAGTCTCCACGTTTGCCTTTGAACCAACCATCGAATATTTTGCCCACGTGAAAAAAGAAAGGGATTGGTCCTGAATTGTCCGAGTGAAACGCAAAATGGAAACGAACAAAACTGATGATCACCTTTGTTTGTCGTGATGTTGTGTTTTTCGGATTGCTGATTTCATTTGCGTTTTCGGCGTAGTTGCGTATGACGGTTTTGTTTATATATTTGTATGTATATATATATGCATTACCTTTACCCTGTCCTCAATATGTTCGGGGGTTTGCGTATGTGATGCGTTGACATATGTGATATGAGAATACCCTGTTTCTTATATCCTTGCCCTCCTCTCTATACCTTAGGTATATGACGACTTGTTCTCTGTTCCCTCTCCCCTCTCACTGTTGGGTCTCTAGATTTTTGAGGGTTTGTGAGTCTGCTCACTTTTGGTTGAGCAAGAGTTTATAAGTTTCACTAGGCGCCAGCCTTGTTACCTTATCAACTCGCAGGTGTGGCATGTGCCACCTCAACCAAAAAAAAAAAACTTGAACCCCAAACTCTGACCCAACTGTTGTGAGGGTGGAACAGTGTGGCCTGTTACAACTGGTAACGTTTCTAGTCTCTGGAGGGCGAGAGTGATTGCTTGGTTATTTGTTTAACCTGCGTTTTGGAGAGATGATCTTTCAAACAGGTTGTTGTTTGTTGTCACTTGTTGGGCACTGCTTAACTTTGTGAATGTTTGCAGTTTCCCCTCAAGTGACCTCGTTGGCACCTGGCCAATCGTTTTTGTCCCCCCCTTGGCTTGCGCCACTCCCTCCCTTAATCTCTCTCCTTCCTATATATAGCATACTATAGTATGTTATTTTTGTGTTGACACTTGGTCAACTCCATGTCGTCATCATGCATGGCGTTGAGTCCATATGGGACATTGACAATTGGTCATGTGAGCACTTGGCTCATCAATCGTTTTTCCCGAACCGTTCATACCATTTCTGCACATGTTTTTTCCCACTGCTCTGCTCAACCAGGCCGTGGAGTTAACGTTACTCTTTGTGGCTTTCCTCCAAGACGATCAGAATCGCCTGGACCTTGACCGATGCGAACAGGTCGAAGCTATTCAAACGGTGTTCTACACCGTGTTACTTCAATGTGGAGATGCCATTTTCCTGCAATCTGCCAAACTGTATTGGCGCGCTACTGCCAGCAGCCTCGCTATGCTTGAGGGCCAGCACTGTGCAACTATCGACACCCCGACTCAGATCGACCGACCCGATCGCCCGCTCCAATGCCTGGCGACGCTTTCAGATCAACGATTCCAGCACCTTACACATCATATTGATGATGCAAAACTGGGATTGCATGAGTTCTCTGCATTTTTACTCGCCAATGGGCATCCGCAATCCCTACACGATCATGCACAAGATTGTTTGCTGATTCTTGACGATCTGAGTCATATGTTGGGCCTTCCTCGGACACCCCGTGAGGCCAACCATCCTGGTTTTGCCCGAGAAGCTCCATGACAGTCGAGCTGCTGATATAACTGACCAGGTGAGGATTCATAACCCATGACAATCCTTCTCCTATGCTGGGAGCCTTGTGGAGGCGTGCTCATTTGGAGCCTTGCTGAGACATCCAGTCTCCACGTTTGCCTTTGAACCAACCATCGAATATTTTGCCCACGTGAAAAAAGAAAGGGATTGGTCCTGAATTGTCCGAGTGAAACGCAAAATGGAAACGAACAAAACTGATGATCACCTTTGTTTGTCGTGATGTTGTGTTTTTCGGATTGCTGATTTCATTTGCGTTTTCGGCGTAGTTGCGCATGACGGTTTTGTTTATATATTTGTATGTATATATATATATGCATTACCTTTACCCTGTCCTCAATATGTTCGGGGGTTTGCGTATGTGATGCGTTGACATATGTGATATGAGAATACCCTGTTTCTTATATCCTTGCCCTCCTCTCTATACCTTAGGTATATGACGACTTGTTCTCTGTTCCCTCTCCCCTCTCACCGTTGGGTCTCTAGATTTTTGAGGGTTTGTGAGTCTGCTCACTTTTGGTTGAGCAAGAGTTTATAAGGGATATTATTAAACAGACGGCTAAGGTGCTCAGGTTAGACTCACCTTTCCAAGTGGTCCTATATGCAGCCAGCTCGTCAGCAATCCAATTGCCTTTGAGGGCCGTTCAGTTCGACACAGATACAAATGAGGCAACCTTCTGCTATATAGTACAGTCGTTACAAGTCCCGTCAGCACAGCAATACCGAGACCTTCTCACTGCCATTTGTCACAAGGATGTGATTGATGTAAGCTATCTTCTTGGTAAGGGTGTAGGCCTTATGGACATGACAACGGAGGAAGGGCATATTAGTACATTAGTAGCTTCTGCTATCCTTCGAGACCACTCTGCTGATCCGTACGCTTACCAGCCTACTGCTGGCCACTGTTTTCCTCGACATGGAGCCACACTAACTTACCTACTGCTACAAGCCCATGCTGACCCCAATATCATTCCGCCCAAAACAAAACCTACCACCATGTTGGAGTTAGCAGTTGAGTTGGGCAGCTCACAGCACGTACAAATTTTGCTTGAAGCTGGTGCCTCGGTGATACCCGTGAAAGGAGCGCTCCCACCCCTTTTTCTTGCTGTCCTCCATCGACACAGGACTAATGTCCAGCTGCTCCTAGACGCACAAGCGGACCCGTGGCAGGAGATTATGATTGCCTCGGTGCTTTGCCACTCCCTGGAATGGTATGGTTACCCTGCCCGTAAAGAGGTTTTCAACGCTGTACAAGCTGCTGCTTTGCAGAGCACTGAAGACACAGTCATTGACATTTTACAGCGTGCCAGTAGCCCCTCCGACGTGGTGAGAAGTGAGCAACTTTCTCAGGCGCGAATCAAATTCACTGCTCTGACAGATAGGGCCACCGCTATCCTGAAACAAATAGTGTGGAAATATCAACACATAATCGAAAAACAGTCTCGACAGACTAATTTCACCACATTTAGATGGCGCAGAATACTCGATGGCCTGTCTTTACCAGTACAACTACGCCCTGAGCTGCGGACACCCCCTGAGCACAACCAGGAAGAAACTTTCCTACACCAAGTTGACTAATTGCGTGCTCCAGATGACCATTTTCCCAGTAGGATGCGGGCATCAGGCAAAAAGGAACTCTGGCCTGCTTGTTATCTTAAGACACACGAAAGAACGTACGCATAAGAATTTTTGTTTCATTTGAACCATGATGTTTGCAATGCACCAGTACTGTGTGCTCTGTCACAAAGAGATACTGCTCCCTGCGATCCCATCGGCTCAAGAGACAGTCGTAGCCAGTCTTGCCCTTAGCTCAGTTCCAGGAAAGGGACATACAGCTCCTCCTAACCACATTAAGGGATTGAAATAGCCAACTTCCCGGATATTGGGCGAAGGGTATTGCTATCGTTTCTTCTCCATTCAACAAAGTACATATTGATCTTTCGTGCATAGGGACCACATTTCACGATAGTATCCATCATTGCTCATTTCACTTCATCCTGCTTCTCCCTCCCTTCCATCTGACGTCTGGTTTCTCTGGCCAAAGACGTGCCAGGGTTACCAGCACCTCCCGTCCCCTCCTCTCCCATTCTTCTCTTTTCTCTCTCTCGTGCCTGGATTCTCTGACTAAAGACTGTCAGGGCTTCCAGCTTCTTCTCCCTGCTTCCTCCCCCTCATTCACCTCTTTCGCTCACTACGTGTGCGCTGCCTAGTTTAGCCATTGCTCCTAAGTCTCAGTGTCCTGGGTATTTGATTTGATCTTTCAAGTTTGAGCTCTGGGTGCTTGAACTGCCTGGCCAAAGACGTGTCAGGTTTTTCAACACTCGCCCCCCCCTCTCCCCCCCCTTTCTGTTTCGTTTGTCTGGTTTGGTTGTGTGTTGTGCTGCTGGCCCTTTCTTTCTGTTGCCTGCTTTGTTTGTCTTTCTCTTTGTTTCTCCCTGTCGGTTTTTCTGCTGTTGTTTCCATTTGGTGTGCTTGAGTCTTCTGACCAAGGACGTGTCAGGATTCTCAACACCTCCCTCCCTCCCCCGCTCCTCTTTTCTACAGCCAAATCAGTTGCCCAGGAATTCATAGTGTGATGTCTCTGCTCTCCAGAGAACAGGTTGCGAAGTCTTGGTATGAAAAGAACCCAAATATCAGCTTCTTTGACTTGCTCTACGCAATTGAACAGCACAAGAGCATTTCGACTGAATACGGGCTGAATGTATCGATTGAGCAGCACTGGCGATTTGGAGACCCCCATAAGAAGACAGCTGCACCGGATCGGCATGACTATGAAATTGCCACGGTCGACGGGAGCGAAACCTTACCTGGACCTGATTGGCACAAGTTGTACCGATGGTTGGTTAGTCAGAGCTCAGCGTTTCTGCCCTACCACACGGTATATCTGGTGACGGACAATCGGGATCTGCAATCAGACAAGGTCAAGTCTGTGCCTGGACTCAGCCATTGGCCAATGGTCGCTGCTTGGTGGAAAGAACGGCTACGATATGTCGGTCCATATGGCGAACTCACAACAGTTGTCTTTGTCCACATTTCGGCTGACACTGGTCTTCACAAGGTACACCCGACATGGGCTGGGACGTACATCCTTGATGCTTGTGTATTCCTCTTTCCGACCATCAACTTTGCACTGATTGACAGCGATTGTGTGCCTGTGACCCTCTTTGAGATACGAGAACTTTGGCTAGCGAGCACTGATCCAACCCTCCCAGCTACGCCAAGCAAAGTTGCCAAAAGCAAACTGCCAAGTCCCATTGCATCATCGCACAAACGTGCGCGCTCTGTGGACACGGGCAGGGATATGCAGCAACCTGGCCCACCATCGAAGCTGTCCAGATCGCATAGTGCTGACCATATTGCTGTCCGAACAGCTGACCCGCTACGAGCTCCGCCACTTACCTATGGTGCCGATCTGGCGGATGAAGTTGACTATGGTGGGTCACCAGACCCGAGTCCCCGCATGTCTCGTCGGGCGTCGTCCAGCAGCGATGACTCTTCACCGCCTGGGTCAACTAAACCTACCCGGAAAGACAAAACAGCCGAGGATGAAACTACCGCTGAGTGTAGGCCCAAAGGAGTCATCTTAGTGAGTGAGGCATTCACTGAAATTAACGCGGGCCTGGTCATTGTATTAGCTTCAGGTCATGAGAGCCCTGTGCCCATCACTGTATTGGAGGACTCGGATACTGATCCTGATGAACTAGCCCACGTTATTACCAGTGCCTATCATAGACATGTCGAAGCCTACCTTGCTACTACGTATCCACCTGCGGACGTTGAGCAAGCAGTCGCTAGTGGATTACTTGGCTCTCCTCTGCTTGGCACGTCCACCCGGGTTACTGCAGATTGGTGCCATGCGTGGAGTGTGTTGGGCCAGTGGTCTGGATTAGTCACTTTTCCGGTCCCAGCCTCTGGAGTCTGGCCGCGCCACGGTCATCTACGGAGAATCCTTGATGGCTACCAAGGTAGACAACCCACCTTCCACAAATGGGCTCGGCCTGCCTATGAGCAAGGAGCCCTTCCGACCCTTAGCCTGCTGCCGGGTGAAGTCAGCGTACGAGTACTACCGGGAGACAAGATGTACCAAGCCATGACAATTGAGCCACACTACATGCGGCCTGTGATTCTGCATGGGTTTGGCAGTACTGCCAAGAAAAGAATGCCCAGCAGTCTCGCTGAGCTGGCCCAATTTGGCTGGTTGCCGCTGGCTGCGGCTCTATTTGGGACACAAGAATGGAAGCCCCAATGGTTGCATCCCAATTTCCTTCCAGTGGTTGGTCTGCGACTGCATGCCAAAGTGCCTCCTGTTCCTCTCTCCCAAGCTCAACTCACATTGCTGTGTGGACTGTGGCACCGGAAGGAACAATCTGAACCTTCATGTACATCGCTGCAGCAGGCAGCTCCCCTCACGTTTGGTCTTCCGCTACCCTTCAGAGAGATGACTAAGTGGGAAGTCACCGTCAACGAGCAGGCCATAGATATTGGGGAAGTGTCCAAACAACCCTACAGTGGGGGCCAACCCGCAGATGCGCTGCCCGTAGCCCTCACAGGCTCTGCAGAGTGGGCCTCCTGGGTCTTTTCCCTCGCTGAAGTCTGGCAAGATGACGCCCCGATGCAAGACCGACCCCTTGAAGTGCATTGCAGTGGACTAGGGGGTGGCCTACTTAGTGGCGAGCATGCACTCGCGACTCGTTGCGATAGTGTATTAGTTAGTACCTGCGCCCGTATTGAGCGCCGTCTCTCCCTGCGCGTCTGCGCCGTGTTCTCCGGCGTTCCCCGCGCCTTGTTGTGTTTCCTTTTCTCCCGCGGTTTCCGGGAAGGTTATTGAATGGTTCTGGACATTCTAACCTGGGGTTCCGATAAGGAAACCTTTTTTGTCATACTTGACATGTTTCTTTTTGGAATTCCGTCATCTGAATTCTCGTGAATAAATATTCAGAAAGAACCTGAAGGATTCTCGCATCTTCATATTTTTGATTTGTTTTTCCTCGGTTTTTATTTGGACAAACAAATCTGAAACCTGAATTCATCTCAACTTGAATTCCGTCATTACTGGTCTCATATATTTCTTTTATGTCACAAAATTTTAGTGGATCAAAAGGGTTGGAGACTAAAAGGTCGTTAATGGACGGCTTTGCACCGGAGCGCTCACACTCCCGTAGATGGATGTGGATGCTGAGGAGGCGATGTGGACAGTTCTCCAACGTTTTGGTCTGGGTGGTAAGAAACTAGCTGTTTACAGACCGGATGATGCACACGACATTGCAGAGCAGGTTTGTCATGAGCTAGGTTGGATCTGTGATGGCACACATGTGGAGATAGTCAGGTCTTGGTTGTGCAGGGTAAACACAGATGAGCCATTTCAGAAGCGGCTACGGAGTGACCACATGCCTGAGTCTTTGCATGCAACATTGGATGACCGTTTCAAAGTCAAACCCAGTACAGCTGCTCATGTCCACGTTTCTTCAGTTGCAGGGTCTTCTACTGATATTTGGAAACCTTTAAGGGTCAAACACCGTGCACAAGATGAACAAGACGATGCAAAGAGAAAATGGGAAATAGACCTAAAAGAGAAATGGTCAAGGGAGTTGTACATACAGTTAGCTGCAATCAATGCGCCAATCTTACAGGGCATGGACTTCTGTGTCGGTTCGGAGCGTATTCATTTGGCCTTGGCTGGGAAAACAAGGGGATCAACTTTGAAGCGATATGTCAAGGCTTGGAAGGCTTGGCAACTATGGAAGAAGTCAGCTTGGGGTGAGGAATCATTTGTGCATCCTGGGATGTTCTGCGAATATCTTTTTTCAAGGATGGATGAGCCTTGTGGTCCCTCGATACCTGGGTTTATTTGCAAAGCAATCAACTGGTTCGAGAAGGTGGCAGGTTTAGATGAGTCTTCAATTGTCACTTCCAGTCGTGCCGTTATACAGATCAGGGATTATATCACTGAGCAGTTATCAAAGGACAGTCCACCACCACGTCGGGCGCCAAGATATCCTGCAGTGGTAATCGAAGCATTGGAGTGCATGGTTTTGGATTCTGCAGTGTTGCTTTGCCTCAGAGTTTTAGCTTGGTGCAAGCTTCTCAAAATCTGGGGAGGATTACGTTATGACGATTTGCAGAAGATAAAACCTGGTGAACTTCATTTGACAAATGGAAGGTTGACCACCCTTCTCAGAGTGACAAAGACCTCAGGGCCGGGGAAGAGAGTGCAAGAGTTGCCAGTTTGTGTTTCTGAACAAGCTTTCGTTTGGAGTGCGAAATGGATTCCAACTGGTTTTGATTTACTCAAAAGGAATGCTGACTTTGACAGGGATTACCTGATACCCAGGTTTGCAGAGGACTGGAAAGGGTTCAGGAAAAAGTATGCCACTTATGCAGACATGACGGCATATTCAACTTACTTGCGCAAGACCTTGATAAGGTCTAGTGATTGGGAAATGTTGATCCCGGAGGATCTTGCAACTTTCTGGACAGAACACTCTGAACGTGCAACTTTCCCAACGGGTATTGCAATGTTAGGTGTGCAGACCACTGACAGGAATCTGATTGGCAGGTGGAAACCAGAGGCCAGTGACACTTATATCAGATCTTACAATGGTTTGGTTGCCAACTTGCAGTTGAAGTTTGCCAAAGCTTTGAGGAAACCGGATCGCATGAAAATCCTGGATGAGGTAGACATCCTGGAGTCTGCAGGAGCATGGCTGAGGTCGCGCAGGACGGATATTGCAAAGGCTGAGTGTGATTGCATTTTGTTTTCACTTGAAACATCTATGACATATTACTTTGATGCGAGTGTAGATCCTGAACCTTTTGAGACTGTTCCCGTTGAACTGGAAACCTTGGACCTGAAAGAGATTCGAGGACAGTCGGACACTCAGGAACAGAAAATTCAGAGAGATGCTGAATATGTAGTAGTGCATGTCAACAATCGTTGCAAACGTTTGCGCAAGACCAAAGGAGGTTGTTGGATGGCAAGGGAAAAGACGTTTAAGACGTCAGATGAATACATGGAGAAGCCACCAGACACCAGTTTCACACATGTCTGTCGCGTTTGTTGGCCAGCCTCAAAAGGGGAGGACGACAGCACAGAGGATACCTCATCGAGCACCAGCTCGTCTAGCTCTGAGGAATCAGGGAAAGCCGGTAGCAACAGCAGTTGAGGCTCTTGTCATTTTGGGGTTCAGGACGGTTGGATGTGTTTTCACTTGTTTTTCTGCTGCAGTGTTGGTTTTGGAGAAACAGTTGAAACACTGAAACGTTATCACTTCATTTCATTTTCAGCTAGGATCATTTCAGTTGAGTTGTCAAACGATGCAAACCTCAGAGCGGCATTTAAATTCACGGTGTCGATGACACTTGAAGGATCGTGCATTAAACGGGCCGAAAGCGGCTCAGAACATAACCAGAACCGGAGGGCATACAGAAGCAAAACATGCTGACAGCTGCCCAGTTCTGGCGGGAGATGTTCCGGTTTTCAACTCAGAGGTTCTTGAGCAGTTTGTCATGTTAAAAAGTGGTGAGGAGAAATTGACTTTGCACAGGCATCAGGTACATGTAAAGGTTTTTCAAATCATTTTGGATCGAATGATCCCGGGGAAACACCTGTGTTGATATTGAAATCAAGGGACTGATGTGCCGGAATTGCACTCGGTGGTCCTCGGTTCAAACGCAGTGACGAAGGTCACCGTGATGCGGCATGAGACACACAGATGTTTGCAAAGACAAACGTATCCTCAGACAAACATAATACACAAACTCGACATAAGTGGAAAACTCCCGTTTGTGCAGTGCTGCAAGTTTTTTCATTGAGTGTGACGCTGACAGCTGTTGAAGTTTTCTTCGCATATTGCTGGAGAGCGCATGTCAATCACGTGATGGGGAAACAATTTTTGCACATTTATACTTCCTCTTTAGAGGGCTGTGAGCGTTAGGGCATGGCTTTTCTTGGACCTGGATTGGGGCCGCAGACACTGGAAGAAACTCTGAAACTGGGCAACTCAGATTTGCGTTTCACGTTTGAGCGGAACGAGGTGCCAGAGGAGGTGCAAGCTCAGTTTTTTACACATGGGGTCACAAACGTCAACAAATTCTCTGCTTTCTTTAGAGATGAGGCGGACTTGATACAAGTGCTCAGAGATGATTTCCATGTTGATGCTGCAGCTTCCTTGGGCGATCGCGCAAAAGTTGCAGCGGTGATTTGCTCTTGGAAAGAAGTCAGTACCAAAGCAAAGAGACAGGCGGAGGTCGAAGCAGAAATGAATACAAGGGAATGGACCAAACCTATTCCTACAGGAGACTATGTGCAGCTTCGCAATGCCTATCAACAGGCGATGGGGCATCTGGAGGACAAAGTTACGCCTGCAAAGGGGTACCTGGAGAAGAAACTACAGGAGCTGGAGAATGGAGAGTTCAGAGCAGAGACCTTGTCAGAAGTAGTGAGCAAGGACGAAGTAGACCCAGACGTTTTGGTGCCGATCTTTGATGCCAAAGGATCTCTCAGTGTGAAGAAAGGTTCATCCACAGTGGCTTTACCCACAGGGCCGGAGCAATTGAGAAGGCGGTTGAGCGTCATGCAAAATTGCATCATGATGCTGGCTTTGAAACATGTCAATAGGGAAGAGATTCAAGACGTGGACAAAGATGTCTTTGATAGATACAAGGACTACCTGCTGGGAGATTACGTTTGGGGTCTTAGCTCAACGGACCTTCAAGGGCAACAGATTCAGACACCACCTTGGAGCTTGGTCCTGTCCTATGAGCAGGCTATCAGAAAGAGAGCCTATGTGATCATGATCAAAGAAAGGCTACAACTTGGTGCAGCCCTGGAACAAGCTTGGAAGTGCCCGACAGTGAAAGAGAGGCATTTCATAACGCCATTGGCGCTATACTCAAAGCGTTCTTATGGAGCTTCTTCATCGTCTGCACCTTCACGGGGGCTTTGGAATGCAAAGGGCAAAGGCAAGACAAAATCCCCAAAGGGATCCTCCAAGGGAAAAGGACAAGGACCGGCAGGAGAGAAGTACTGCTATCGGTTCAACAAGGGCATGTGCAAGCACAAGGGTTGCAAGTTCGCGCATATTTGCAGCAAATGCTTCAAGAAGGGTCACAACGCTTTGAACTGCAAGGAGAGCAGCCCGGATACTACGGGCACCAACTGACAAATGCAGGACAGTGGAGGTGCAACAGTTTCACAGAATTTGACTGGCGCGGAAACTGGGAGCAGAGTGTGCCGAATTCTTTACATTTTTTCAGGGAGCAGCCGCAAAGGATCTGTTTCTGCATGGGCCAAAAAGCTGGGCTCACGCATGGGTATCACAGTTCAAGTCGAAATGATTGACATCAAGGTGCGTCCGAACTGGGACTTGACCAAGTCAAAGAGCAGACAAGTTTTGTTAAACAAAATACGTAGCGGGCGTTACTTTGCAGTTTTGATTTCACCGCCTTGCAGCACTTTTACAAGGGCTACATGGGCGAACCAAAAAGGACCAAGACCGGTCCGGTCTTATGTGCAGCCAAGAGGGCTACAGCGATTGACGTGGTCGGAGCGGCAGAAGGCAAAATGGGGAAATGAGCTCACAGATTTTTCTTTTGAAGTTTGTGTAGAAGTTTCAACGACCGACACCATGTTGCTGTTTGAAAATCCTGAAGATCTTGGAGCAGTACAACAGGGGAATCTTTATGGCCAACGTCCGGCCAGCATGTGGCAATGGCCAACCTTTTTCGAGTTGTTGGAAAAACAAGGTTGGGAAACAGTTGCGTTTTACCAAGCTGATTTTGGCACGGAATATTTGAAACCCACACGTTTACTGCTCAAAGGTTTTCAGACACAACAACAGACAGCGTTTGTGCAAGGTAGGCCTAGTTTTGATGAACAAGGATTCTACGAGGGTCCTCTGACAAAGAGAGAGACCATCAAACAGTTGATTGGCCATGCAGGCAACAGTTTTGTGACAAAGGGGACGGAGCAGTGGCCCAGTGAGCTGTGTCGTTGGATAGCATTGCAAATTTTAGAGAAATTTCATGCCTCAGTCGTTTTGGCCTCCGGAGGGGTTCAACAAAATACCACAACAACCTCGGAAAAGTTTACAACCACAGAACCAGAAGGCTGGAAGATACGTGGTGGAAGCGGTGAACCAAGGATCTGCAGATCCCCGGGTAAAACCAGAGAATTCCATGATGGTGCAGGTTTGGCTTCACCAGGGCGTTGGGACCTGGAACGTAGGACATGGAACACAGATGACTTTTGGAAGAAACTTAGGGAAGGATCCTTGCGCTTGGTTTTGGAAAGCTGCGGGGGTTGGCAAAAGTTTGACTTGGAGTGTTTTCAAATGGCAGCCAAGGGTGAACAGGGCTGCAACCTGGTTCGAGATCAAGGCCTACAGTCAAAACTGGTGGATCTTTGGATCACACTTTTGGGAGAAGAGGGATATGAAACTGAAGGTCTGGGGGAAATTGCAGATGGACAGCCATTCAGGCTGAAGCTCATGCAAGCGCTGTCAGAACGAGCAGGAGACCCAGACCACCGTTTTCTTTTGCAAGGCCAAGAAGGTTTTCCAGTAGGGGTCCTACACCAGCTGCCTAGGACCCCTCATATGTATGAGGAGCAGACAGCTTGGAAGTTGGAAGAGGATCCATATATGTGTGAAGAAATCTGGCGAGACAACTATGAGTCAGTCCAGGACCATGAGGAGTTCGTGCGTGAACACTTTAAAGCTGAGTGCGAAGAAGGGCTCATGGAAAAGATGTCGCTTGAAGAGGCGAAGAGGCGTTTTGGGGATAAGATTGCAATCTCATCCCTTTCAGTTCTGGTGGAAGAAGCTCATGGTAACAAGCGGCGTATAATACATGATGCAACTCATGGGACGAAGATCAACAACAGAATCAAGTGCCGGGACAAACAAAGGAGCCCAGGGGCACGGGAGAAAATGTACTTGCTGGCCTATTACAAAGACAAAGGCAATGTGATCTTCAGCCTTGTGGGTGACATTAGCAAGGCTCACCGGCGCTTCCTGCACCACCCCAGCGAAAGGGGCCTTCTTGCATGCAGAGTTCTTTCCACCGATGACCATGTGTACATTAACAATGTGGGAACGTTTGGAGTGGCTTCAGCATCATATTGGTGGGGGCGCATTGCAGGATCAGGCCTGAGACTGGTCCATGAGTTGATAGGACCGGAGATGCCAGTGGAGATGTTGATATTTGCAGATGACCTGGAGGCGCTTGGGCCAGACAGGCAAGGGAGAAGGGGTGTGGTGCTGGCGTTTCTTTACTTAGCAGTTCTTGGCTTCCCATTTAAGTGGGCAAAGCAGAGAGGTGGCTTGAAAGTGGAGTGGATAGGACTTTTTGCAGATTACACCAGCATGAAACTTGGTCTTTCGCCCTCAAGGGCAGCTTGGGTTGCAAAGTGGACCAAAGGTCTTGCGGAATCAGGCAATGCAACTGCGAAAGAGATGGAGCAGGGACTTGGACGTTTATGTTTCGCTGCAAACGCTCTCTTGTGGGAGCGTCCTTTCTTGGGGCCATTGTTTTCTTGGACAGCTGCAATACGGAACAAGAGAGGTACTCTGAAGCTGCCTGCGATGCTACGCACCATTCTCTTCTTCCTTGGACGACGCGTGGAGGAAGGTGGTGACTTGCAGACTCCACCACCTTTGAAGAGGAGAGCAACTCCCGATGTGGTTTTCTTTACAGATGCGAAAGCAACTGACACTGGCGCATGGATAGGCGGTTTTTTTGGAATCCAGCGAGGGCGAGATACTTTCATGGTTTTCTGAAAAGATTGAGCCCGATTGGGCACCTTGGCTTTTTGTGAAAAACAACCCGAAGAGGGTAATTGCAAGCCTGGAGCTTCTTGCAACTCTGGTGGCGGTTAGACTCTGGACAAAGGATCTAGGAGTCGCTAGTGCTGGCACTTGCTGGATTCGTGCAGGTACCGACAATCAAGGGAACACATACGCTGTCAACAAGCTCATGAGTACCAAGTTTCCACTGACCCTATTGGTGTTGGAGCTATCAGAAACTTTGAGGCTTAGGAATTGCGAGTTGGGCTTGGAATGGATACCGCGTGAATACAACCAACTAGCGGATGACCTCACCAATGAGGATTTTAGCAAATTCCCTGGCGAGCGGAGAGTTCAATGGGTTGGAGGAAACACCAAATGGTACGTGCTTGATGGGCTAATGGATAAAGCAAAGGAATTCTTCACAGAACTTCAGAAAGCCAAGCTTGAGAACAAAGGCAAGAAGAAAAGAGCTTCTCCAAAACAAAAGAAGAAACTGGACCATTGGTGATTGGTGCCCTCGTTATCCTAAAGGGATGCAACTTTCAGCTCGGGTACCATTCGCAAATGGTCAACTGACGGATGTTGCAAAAGGGGCTGGATTTCCAATCCGTACCCAATGAAATAGCAAAAGGAAAAAGAGAGTGCTGCTCTGAATTTCATCTTGCTGTATTTTGTCTGTTGCGTGGAACGACGTGAATGTTTCAGAGAGGCCTGTTTCTTTTTATGATGTTTTTGTCGGTTGGTGTTTTTAGGTTTGAAAAATGTATATCGCGTAGATAGCGTTACCTCTTATGATATCGGAAATATACTCGTTATATTCCACATATCACTGGGAGGGTTTAGGGAGGGTATACTAGTGGTACTATACTAGTACGCACTCGCGACTCGTTGCGATAGTGTATTAGTTAGTACCTGCGCCCGTATTGAGCGCCGTCTCTCCCTGCGCGTCTGCGCCGTGTTCTCCGGCGTTCCCCGCGCCTTGTTGTGTTTCCTTTTCTCCCGCGGTTTCCGGGAAGGTTATTGAATGGTTCTGGACATTCTAACCTGGGGTTCCGATAAGGAAACCTTTTTTGTCATACTTGACATGTTTCTTTTTGGAATTCCGTCATCTGAATTCTCGTGAATAAATATTCAGAAAGAACCTGAAGGATTCTCGCATCTTCATATTTTTGATTTGTTTTTCCTCGGTTTTTATTTGGACAAACAAATCTGAAACCTGAATTCATCTCAACTTGAATTCCGTCATTACTGGTCTCATATATTTCTTTTATGTCACAAAATTTTAGTGGATCAAAAGGGTTGGAGACTAAAAGGTCCCACCCACCCAGTCCCGGATGCAACTTTCAGCTCGGGTACCATTCGCAAATGGTCAACTGACGGATGTTGCAAAAGGGGCTGGATTTCCAATCCGTACCCAATGAAATAGCAAAAGGAAAAAGAGAGTGCTGCTCTGAATTTCATCTTGCTGTATTTTGTCTGTTGCGTGGAACGACGTGAATGTTTCAGAGAGGCCTGTTTCTTTTTATGATGTTTTTGTCGGTTGGTGTTTTTAGGTTTGAAAAATGTATATCGCGTAGATAGCGTTACCTCTTATGATATCGGAAATATACTCGTTATATTCCACATATCACTGGGAGGGTTTAGGGAGGGTATACTAGTGGTACTATACTAGTACGAATATGATATTTTTCTGCAAAATCTTGCGCAAACCAAGGTGTATGGCCCATCGCTTGCGATGACAGATGACTGGGAAGAACATATCACCCAGTTGGGCCTCACCAAAACTGTGCATGAATATGTGATCTATCAGCTACTCCCCACGGCAGAAGGATGGACAGCCTGGCGAGATTTTCTCCCTGGACAGTTCGCTGATCAACAGCTGCTGCTCACGCGAGCGATTCGCCTAATTGAGGCTGCGAATATCCGGCCAGCCCATGCCAGGCCACCACACCCGACCTGGACAACAGCAATTATGCAAATCTTTCGTTGCTACCATCCGCAAGGCAAACATCTATTTCTGAAGTCATGCTTTCCACAGTTAGTCACCACAGCGGCAGCAAGCGGTTTCAGGGATGTCAACGTGCACGGTTTTTCGGCAGGGTCCTATACGGGCCTTGCTGTCCATGAGATCCTGAGTGCGTTTGCTGTGTTCCCTGGCCTCACCAAAGTTGCTGCGATTGCGACGCCACCAGAGATGATGAGACTTGCCACGGGCGAACGCACAGTCACACTGGTGCACTGCCTGGAGGACCGGCTTTGTGTGTGGAAACCTGACTCTCTGACAGAATTCAACTATCAGATTGTCCTGATAGAAGGGCACCCCACATGGAGTGGACGTGCTAAACACTCCTATGGCCACTTGCTCTTCATTGATCTTGACGAAGGGGTTCATGAAGTCCAAAGACTACAAATCACTACCCCTCAAGTCATTCCACATGGGGTACGTTGCGAGGGTCTGCTGCGTGTACTTTCATGGGTTAGCTTTGACCTTCCTGAACATCTCAAGACAACTCTAAGTTCTCTGTTAGTAGCAGCTGGTGAAGGGAACACTGAACTGCACACAGTGCCCATTGACGGAAGGGATATCCGGGATGGCCAGCCTGAAACGGAAGCTGAACTGCAAGCGGCCCTGATTGCGATGATTCCCACACCGGGAGGGTCCCATGATGAGGGAGGATTGCTAGTCCGCAACTTACTGGCGGAATTTCTGCGAGGCTTTTCCCTGCGCACCCTCATCTTCCTCCTGGACATGGTGCTTCCGCAATTAGACGCCTATCATGCGGGACGGCAGCTCCAACATCTACAGCCTTGGGTCAGTGTAGAACTTGCTCAGCAGAAGAAGCGAGGACAGACTGGAACACGGTTACAGGTTACCTATCAATATGAGGCGTATGCCGGATTTCATGTCATCCACCTACATACTGATGGTGCCCCACTCCTGCTATTTAGTGCACCTTCCGATGTTCCAGCGCTGTCGCCGCGTGCTCTCTGTGAAGCTGGGAACCTGGGCAACTTGGAAGCGAACGTGATGGCAGGCAGAGCCCTACTGGGTATATTCCAGTTGCCAGACAATCAGCAGCGTTGTGTCATAGCATTGGTACATGAGAAGGTGATGTCGAGCGGAACTAGCAAAAACCCTGTTCAAAGAGCGCTCAAGCGCATTGCCCCAAAGATGTTGGAGCTTGTTATTGTCTCTCTGCCTATTGCTCGGACCTTTTGTGGGCGACTTTTGGATCAGCATCTTAGAACAATGAGTTATTTTGATCCTGCACAGGATTGGCTGAAACCCATTGAAGACCACCCGTCCATGGCCGTTGTTTGGGAAGAGTTGGCCTTTCTGGGAGACACACGCAGCCGCCATGAACTCTTAGTGTTTGCACAAGCTAACCAGTCGCGCCTACCATTGGCAATGGGCATCGTGCAGCCGCATATACCTGTTCGCCGTATGGCTAGCGAGCGCAAAACGCAACTGACTGATGCGTTAGTCAGAATTCTGAGCCGATTTTTGACACCAGCTGCGATCTCGATGGATGGGGCCCATGACAGTTACTATCGTGAACATCTCCTTCCTCTAGCAGCACACGGTGATGGACATGTCCTGACAGTCTCAATTGCACTCTTGTTGGCCATTATGACTGGAAGATCTGACTTATGTATTGCAGGGGTTTTTGGTGCTGGCAAAACGCGGTCCCTTGCGGTCCTGCTCATTGCCCTAAGCTGCGAACTGAATGACTTTGTTGCAATCGTCTACACTAAAGAGAATGTAGCTGCCAAAGCACTAGCGGATCAAGTGAGTGATCTTGCGCCCCCCACAATCAAGAACTTCGGCAGGCTAATTGGACGCATGGAGGAGGGCAAAGGAGAGGCGTACGCCTCCAAAATTGACGTCCGATGGGTAGGGGGATGGGGTCCCCAATACCATGTCGGAAACAGGGGGAGGTGGACCCGAGAGGGTCTGGGGGGACGTTAAACTGTCAATATAGCGCAGGGGAGTTGCTGAAGGCCCCCGTCCCTAACGAACCGTGAATTAACACGGTACCTTGGTACCCCCTAGTCGGCGTGTGTTGACATGTTGGGTTGCTCCTCATGTCACACCCTCGTTTGTGTTTGCGCACATCCTTGGGTGATCGTGCGGTATCTCGGGGTTCTCCCGGACCGATCGGTACACACGTGGTACGGGACCGACGGGTCTCACCTTACCTTGTGTCTAGGGTAGCAACACCCAATGATGACACGGGGAACAGGCAAGGTCGGTGAACCTCTTAGAGACTTGGGGACTTGTCTCGAGGAGGGGTCAACGGGGCAACCCGTTGGCTAACGGTCAATATTCATCGTTGGGTAGCTAAGCTCGCGGTGGACAAGACCGTCGGTTCCTCCCTAACAGTGTTAGGGTCCTGTCGCAAGACAGGTGTATCCCCCTGGGATACATGGGATCGCTAACGACTGGGTCACCGACCGGTTCACTCTCAACCTTCGGGGAGAGTGGGCTCAATGTACAGTCTGGCCACAGTGAGGACCTTGTTTTCGGCTCTAAGGTCCAAGCTGTGCTCCATAGGGACTGGGGTCACTGAAAAGGTGACTAAGACTTTCCACTCCTTTCTTGGATCGTCTTCTCCAGTAGTCGCTGGAGTCCGGGAACCTATGGGGGCATCATGAGTTGGTCTCTCTTGGATTGAGTGGTGATCATCTTGGGTGAAATGAATGGGTTCCGTCTCCACGTCCATTCGGGGTGTACGGTTTACGCCGTACATTCTTCGTGGAAATGAATGGTTTCGGTTCCCACGTCACTCGGTGAGTGGATCCACTCTCCTTGGTTTGACCTGGGACTCGTGGTGTGGAAAGGGTACCGCCCCAGGGTGCGCCTGGTGCTTGCGGGGGGCCATGCTTCTGCGTGGTTTTCGCCTTTTTGGCGTGGCCCTGCACCGGGAGCCCAAAGGTACCAAGCGGTAGTGACCGTAATAGAATCATCTCACATAAGAATATACTCATCGCAACAGGTGGCTCAGCTACGGCGGAAATGGCGATGCGCTACTCCTCTTTTGGCCATTGGATTTCTCGCACCTGGCTTGCCTTTATGGACGAAAGTCAACAGTATGGCAACTACCATGAGATTGCAGCTCTTGCTGCCATCCAACAGCCAATGCTGACTGTCTTCATTGGAGACCACAGGCAAACTCCAGGAGGGCTATCCAAAGGCCGAGCAGCGGCTGTCAATCGACGTAAACTGTTGCAACGGCCGTTGGGGCTTCGAGCACTTGATAAGTCCGGCGACTATTTTCCCCCAGCACGAATGGCAGCCCTCGTAGCTCAGCTGTGGCCCGATGCGAGCCAAGATCCGGAGTCGGAGCTCTTCAGTCTGCTGAGGCTTGCAAACAAGCCGCACAGTGGCCCATGGACATCCACTCCGCAAGATTACGAGCTGCCTGTCGCCCTAAGGCGGGTGTTCCACTGCCGAATTTCGTGCCAGCTGGATGCACACAGCAGCCTCATTGCAGCGGTGCTTGCAGT